ACAGAAGCACTGAGCTTGCTCAAATTCACAGATAGACAAAGTAGAATGGTTGTTGCCAGGGGCTGGAAAGAGTAGCGAGTTATTGCTTACTGGGTCTAAAGTTTCATTTGGGGAAGATGAAAAAGTTCTGGAAATGGATGGTGATGGTTATACAGCTACGTGAATGTATTTAGTGCCACCAAAACGTACACTTAAAAGTGGTTAAAATGGCAGGTGTTATGTGTATTTTGTCACAGTTAAAACACACAACCAAAGCTGTGAGCTTAGAGCCTAAAGCCAAGATTGCAAAGACCTGGTTCCCCCCACAGCCTGCAGATGCCCCCACACTCATGAGCCAGCAGTCCACCTCGCTCTCTCCAGGACGCTGGTCCTGTCCAGATTCCCGCCCTGGGGCTGTTCCTTGGAGGCAGGCCTGCCCAATGCCCTTTCCCTTATCTAGAGGAGCAGTTTTCCTTTGTATCACTCAGGGGAAAAGGGGGGTTTAAGAGCCAGAACTATGCCCTGTGAGCCATTTCCCAAAATAGTCAGCCCTGACGTGCTGCTGGTTGGAAGGTGGGGAGAACTAAGAAATTAAGATGGGAAGAATAAAAAATTAAGAAGGAAAGGTTAGATAAGCCTTAGCTCTGTACTCAGCCCATTCACCGACCTGTCCAGAGACCCACCTCCCCCAAGGTCTTTATTTTATTGTGTGTCACCCTCCTCCCCCCAACACACACACACACACACACATGCACACACATGCACATGTGTACGTGAGTTGGAGGATTCTCTCTGCTGGCCAACCCTGAGGCCAGTCCTTCCAGGATCCTTTCAGGATTGCTGAGGAGTAAGAAAGACCCTACCTCTTCAAGCAAGAAGCAGAACATAACAGAGGTATAATCAGAAGGGAAGTGAGGGCATCTAGAAAATGCTTCTAAAAGTGTGGTCCCCAGAACAACAGCAGCAACATGTGAGAATTTTTTAGAAATACAAATTGGGGCGCCTGGGTGGCTCGGTCGGTTAAGTGTCTGACTTTGGCTTGGGTCATGATCTCGCGGTTTGTGAGTTCGAGCCCCACGTCGGGCTCTGTGCAGACAGCTCAGAGCCTGGAGCCTGCTTCAGATTCTGTGTCTCCCTCTCTCTCTGTCCCTCCCCTGCTCACTCTCCCCCTCAAAAATAAATAAACATTTTAAAAAAATACTAAAAGAAATACAAATTAGTCCCACTCCAGACCTACTGAAATCACAAAGTCTGGGTGGTGGTACCACATCATTTGTGTTTTAACACACCTGGAGAATGCTCCATCTACATTTGAGCCCCTGCCCCTCATTTCACAGACAAGGCAACCAAGGTTCTGAGAGGTTCCACGACTCACCCAGGGTCACCCAGACCATACCAGGCTGTTACTCTTTTTTTTTTTTTTTTAACTTTATGGATTTATTTTGAGAGAGTCAGAGATCGTGTGAATTGGAGAGGTGCAGAGAGAGGGGGAGAATCTCAAGCAGGCTGTCAGCTCAGAGCCTGACACGGGGCTCGAACTCATGAACTGTGAGATCCTGACCTGAGCTGGTCAAAGACCGGACGTTCAACCAACTGAGCCACCCAGGCACCCCCCAGGCTGTTAATAGAACTGAATCCTCTAATTAAGCGGATGGTAATGTGAAACCGAACAAAGCTGGAAAGGGCAGCAGCAGGCAGTCCCTTTGGCAGGACGGGGAGGAAACGTGAAGCCGGGCTCCCAGCATTGGAGTCCCTGCTCTGCCATCACCGGCTTTAGGATTGGGATGAGTTACTTAGCCTCCGGGCCCATTTTCCCATCTGCAGGACAGGAACAGTAGTAAAACCTCCGTCAACCCTAGGATGGTTTTGAGGACTGAACAAAGAGCAGGCGTCTCGCAGTAAGAGGGACAGAAAGAAAGAACAGGAAGAGGACTGAGGAGCCTGCAGCTTCCTGCCTTGGAGCAGCCACTGAGCAGGAAATGCTGGGAAACAGCAGCTCCCTTGGCCTCCAGGACGGGAGCCTCTTAGGCAAGGTGAGCACACGGACTTTCACAGCAGCACTGTGGTTTTGGCTACAACACCCAGGGCTCTCTCTACCCGCAACCGCTGGGGCAGGAGCCAGCTGCCTGTTCAGAGACCAGGTTACAGAGGAGCCCCAGCCCCAGCTGACTCCTGATGGCCCAAGTGGGGCTCTGGCTGGGAGTCGGGGGGGGGAGGGAGACGGCTGTGCCTGGTCCCTGCCCTGAACCCTAGGGCTCACGTTTCTCCTGCATCTTTTGGCCAACACGGATTGGATGCTCGCCGTATGGTAGGAATAGTAGACAGACTCGTGCCTGGGGTAATTAGCCCCATCTCCCCCCAAGCTAACCTCACCCCCTGTTTCTCATTTAATCCCATCTCCATGCAACAGCTGAAGAACCTGGAGTCTCAGAAGGGTCAGGCATCTTGGTCACAGTCACACAGCTGCTAAGGGGCAGCACCAGGACTGGGGCTCAGATGTCTGCGAGCAAAACAGGGCCCTTCACCACCCTGAGCCCCTGGGGTCCATTCCTGCCCTAGACCAGAGGGAGCAGCGAGATTCCCAGGGTGGGGGACTGAGGACTCAGGCACGGAGAACCGTCTGAACAGCTGCCCTAAAGCAGGTGTAAATGCCACCCCCGAATATGCCACACTGGCATAGGATTATTTGGGGCCGGAGGATGCAGAAGGAAGCCTTCCAGGAGTTTCCCTTATCTGACCAGAAGCCGAAGTTCCTGGGAAATGAAGACAGCCATGAGTCCCTCTCCCAGGGAAGGCTTCTGGCCTCCAAGATGACAGAAAGGCGGTGCTGAGATGGACCTGCCTAAACAAGCCTTATTCCATTCGTTTCCCCCAGATATTTACCTTCCCATTTGTTTTGTCACTTCTCCACAAATGTATCGTTCGTGCCGAACGAACGTGCTAAAGAAGCCCCCAGTTCTAACCACACTGAGGGCTTACTCATCACTGTTTTTCTCCTTGTTAATCTGTCTTTTGTCAGTCTTGGGGCAGGGCATCTCATACTGACACTGGGTGTGGCCCTCGCCAGGACCTCCAGCTGCTGGCCCAGGCCACCACAGACCCCCAGTCCTCCGGTCCTGGGGCGGGGCATCCCTGCAGGAGCCTGATCAGGAGCCTGGAGTTCAGGTCCAGGTGGGCCAGTCTGGGGACTTGCTTCCTGTGTGAACTTGGTCAGGTGTTTTCACTGCTCTATGCCTCAGTATCCTCATCTGTAAAATGGGACTTAAATGTGAGGCTTGAAAGAGGTATTGTAACACAGACCACTTGGCATACACAGTAAGCGCTCAATAAATGTGAGGTTTTGCATAACCAAAGCGACCCAAAATGAACAATTTCAGGGACCATAAGAAGAGCAGAGGGGTTTCATACAATTTTCACGCAATTACCCAACAGGGTGTTGTATGGAAACCAATTTGACAATAAATTTCCTATTAAAAAGAAAATAAGAGAATGTCTTGGGGGAAAAAAAAATTACCCAACAGGACCAAGCATGAGCCCTACAAGAACTCTAGCTTTTTGTTACACTGGAAGGACAGAGAAGGCCTATTTATTTCTGAATTTGCATTTTGCTGGCTCTGAATATTTTGAGAATACAAAATGAGACACTGAGGCCAAAAACTCCCCCAGGGGATGGTTTCTGAAAATCAGTCAGTCAGTGTCAAGTTCCACAAGGAGGCTGGGTTTCTGCTCTACCCATGAAAATACTATTTAATATATATATATAATATATATATAATATATATATATATTTAATATAAAAAGATAAAAAGTAGGCTTTTCTGGTAAGACAGTGCTCCTCAAACGCTGGCAGCACCAGCGATATCTGGGAGCCTGTTAGAGTTCAGATTCTGGAGATTCTGATTCTGTGGGGCTGGGCTGGTCCGGAGACACCCACGGCTGCTGGTCTGGGGACGGCACTTGGAATGGCCAGGCTCTCCCAAAGTTTCCACTTAAATACAGGTCTGTTATACAAAGCAAGATACACTCACAGTGACTATTTCCCCCAGAATCTTATGCCCTTTGGATTGTGACTGATTTTCAGAATTTACTTATCCTAAAGTTTATTTGAGAGACAGAGAGAGAGAGAGAGAGAGAGAGCGAGAGAGAGCAGGGGAGGGGCAGAGGAAGAGGGAGAGCAAGAATCCCAAGCAGGCTCTGTGCTGTTAGCACGGAGCCGACCCTAGGGTCCCGACCTGAGCTGAAATCAAGAGTCGGTCGCTTAACCGACTGAGCCACCCAGGCACCCCTATTTTTTCAGAATTTAAAAGTAATCTTTGTATTCATTCATTTCCCCAGGATGGAATAGAATAATTACACACACACACACACACACACACACACACACACACACAAATGTTATTGCTGGGAGCTTCCCCAGGCCCATGTCTGCTTGGGCACTGTGCTCAGTCCTTGGGGGGAGCTCCTCATGAGGAAGTAATGGAAATGGGAACTGAATCGGGGTCTAGAATCAAAGAAAGGAAGAATCAAAGGAAATGGGGGCAGATCTGTACCCCACCCCCAGGCGGAAAGGGGGTTCTCAGAAAGGCTGAAGCTACCCAAGGTCTTCAAAGCACAGCACTAAGACCTTCGGGCACCCCCGCCCCGGTCCCGTGCACCAGGGCCCGTTGGGGAGTGGGGCAGGTGAGGTGCACTGGTTGGCCTCCGAGAACAGGCAGGGCCACACTGCTTCTCTCGGGGTCACGTGAGCACACAGTGGCACCAGGGCACATCCCATCAGCTGGGTACGAATATGCAAAGTCCTATTTGCCTGGCCTGCAGCAGGCACTTAATAAGCATTCATTGACTAAATTATAGCACATATAACACGTGGCTACATTTGAAGAGTGGTGGGGGAGAGACAGTCAACAACTTCGGTGTAAGGGGCCTCCTTTGCTCCTTCTCCTTGCCCACTCCCAAGGCCCACGTGGATGATTCAGGAGGAAGCGTCCCCCAGGCTCGGGGAGTCAGAAGCCCTCACTCACCAGGATTAGTTTTCCGGATTTCACTATACACCGTCTCTGTGCCCTTGGTTTCCAGACCTGGAAAGTGATCAAGCACAGGTCAACAGCTGCCTCTGGGCACCAGGTCGGCCCACTGCCGAAGCAAGACAATGTGTGAGGCTCCCTGCTTACCCACGACCCCACCCCACGAGTGCCTGTCTCCAGCAAGCCCTGGAGACCTTAATGCCACTAAGCCCAGGCCATTCCCTGGCTTTACAAGATCCTGGTCTAAGTAGCCTCACTCTCTGTCTGGAAGTATGAAGTCAACAGGCCATTATGGGTCCACCTGGACCACTCACAGGTGGAGGGGTTCCCAGCATAGGCCTGCAGCCTCCTGCTCAGTGGTCCCATACCTCCTTCCCTGCCAGTGCGTTCCTGTGTCCAACTGCTCTCCCCGCCCCTCCCAGGAGGCTGGGCTATGACTTCCCAATCATCCGAGGCCTGGGTTCGAGCCTGGGCCTCATCTGTGATGTTAAGGATCAGCTGGGACCGACAACCACTTAAAATCTTGACAGCGGGGCTAGTTGATTTCACACGCCAACACGTGGGCCTCATTCTGATTCTGATTAGTTCTGGAGTGGCCCTGGCATTGGTGGGTTTTAAGAGCTCCCAGGGGATTCCAATAGGCAGACGGGGTTGAGATCCTCTGGTCTGGACTCTTTTGGACTGGCGCACAGATGACCAGCCAGGGTATGGATCACACTCAGGGGAGACCCAGGGTTTGGAGGACAAAACACCCGTATGGTCATCTGTTTAAGTTGAAGTAGGTGTACAGGTTGTGTATACACACACTTGTACACACACTCGTAGTGTATCTACACGCATTGTATGAATCATAGAGGGTGTATACACACAGCATGTACATACATACACATCCACGAACCCTCAGGAAACAGGATGGGACCCCACTTCTTCCCCCACCTCCTCTCACCTGCACAAAGGACAAGGAAGCCTCATTGTAGAAAGGTGGCTCATGCCATGAGGCCAACATTCTCTTTCTACAGATCTGGAAATGAAGCCCCAGACCGGGTAAGATGCTTCCTGCCACCATGCTCAGCGCCATGTGATTTTTCTTGGTGGCAGGTGGCTGGGGCATGCCCACGGACTCTAACTGCACCGAGATACCCTTGACTCCCTAGGCCCCAGGGATGCCCCCTGACCCTGAACATACCCTTTCACCGCTGGCCCGGCCCTTTCTCTTTGCCCCATTCCTCCTCATCCTCCAAGTCTCAGGACAGGCTTTGCTTCCACACTTGGGTACACATACCCTCACCCACCTGCATACACCCCAACACATGCACCCCTTCTCAGGGCCCAGGGCAGTTGCTAGGCCCCCTGTGCTCCCACGGCAGTTTGGGGACACTTGTCCACAACCACACTGACATTATTTGTCCCCACGACTGCCTGTCCCCTGATGGGCCCGGAGCTTCTCCAGGGGTCTGGTGCACCTCCCAGTCAATGCAGTTACCTGGAGGCACCCGTAAAGGTTTCGCGAGATAGTGACGGCACCAGTCAGTGCGCTTGCGGGTGCCTCTATCTCAGGTCCCCCGAGCCTCAGGAAGGCTTTGGCATAATCAGCTTGCTCCCTGAGGTTTTAGATTTTAGAACTGAAATCATGGTCATTCATTAGACACTGAATGGCGGTGGTTCCCGTGCCAGGACCTGAGCACCAGGAGGAAGCCTGAGGGGGTGTTTCAGACTCCAGCAGGTGAACTTGGGACATTTTGGGTGGCCAGGGCCTCACACAAGTCTTCATATGGGTCCCCCCCCCCCCACCCAGGGCACCAAACAGGAGTTGGTACTCACTAGAGTGACTGAGATACCAGGTGCTCTCAGCTTAGAGGACGGACACCTGCCGTTCTCTAAGAGGCCAGCAGAGATGCTTATACCAGGCTCCCTCCGTGGGACCAGATTTAGGGGTGTAGAGGGAAGCTCCAGGGTTTCCCATATCTCCTGGGGAAATCTCTCACATTCCCAAGGGATTCTGCTCAATGTCAGGCCCAGGGAAGTCACTCCTTCAGTATGATCCTAATACCTATTGTGTGCTGGACAGGGTGGAAGCTGAAGCTGAAGCGGGAGAGAAAGGCAAATCACACCCACACTGGAGCTTTCAGAAGCCCCAGGCCATGGGACAGACAATGCTGTGATAAGCAATATAGGTGCTCTGGGGTCTCTGCCAGCTCCTCCTCCGACCCCCCGCCCCACAATGGGAGTGGGGGCCACAGGTTAGGAATCGAGGGAGGGGGCTGGGTGGCCAACGTGGGGGCCTGGACACCCTTGTAAGCTCCACCGCTCCCCGGAACACAAGAGTTGCTGGTAGACCTCTCTGGCCACCTTGGGGACACGCTAACAGCCTCTGGACTCAAGAGTCACGCTTGACTCCCTTCGTCCTTATAACTGCAGATCAGCCTGTTGGTTTCCGTCCTTGGCTGAGCAGCTACACTTGCAGCTGCCCCAGCGGCTCCTCCCGCTGCCCCCCTGCTCTGCCCTTCGGTGATGGGCGGGAGCCCCCCCACCCCCACCCCAGGCCGCTCGTCACCACCTCCCCTGCAATGCAGCTGCCTGCTAATGACTAACCCAGGCCAGCAGGCTGTTTGTCTCTGCTGTCAGGGATGTTTCCGGATGGTGCTTTATTTTGGCTCCTGTTTTTCTCTGTTAACAGAGAAAGAGAAGTCTTCAACGTCATGGGGTTTTCCCAGCAATTAGCCTCACAGCAAACAAGCAACAAACTGGTTTAACGAGTTCCTTCCCACCCCGCCTCCATCCCCGAGTGACTCCTTGGGCAACTGCCCAGTCAGAGTCAGAGCTGGACTGGGTTCCCAGCCCCTCCTCCACCCCAGCTGTAGAAGAGGGAGCTTTGAGGACAGGGAACTGGATTGGCCAAGACCAGATCAAGTTTACTCATCACTGGCCTTCAACCCACAGAGCCCTTTCCTCACCCACCCACTTCAGGACTTCCCTACGAGGCTGGGTTCTGAAAGCTCAACTTGAATCTTCTAGAAACTCTCCATTTCCACCCAAGAGGCACTCATTTTAGCTCTCCCGAGGCCCCCACAGCAGCCTGGGGAAAGGTAACCACTTGGCTGGCTACCTGCACACAGCTTGTCAAGAAAAGCTTCCCTCCTCACCCCGTCCTGGGACTTCTTTTCCCTCGAAAGCACCCCCGCCCCCGACCTTCAAGCAAGAAAAAGAAAACCAGATACTCTAACATGGAAACATTTCCAAAAGAATGGAAAATGGATGCTTTTCCAGGGAGAAACCCTGCTTCCTTTCTCCGTCAGCTACTTTAAATCCAAGGCCTCCCAGGCACTGGGCAGAGCGCTCATGAAGCCACCTTGCCCTGAGCTGACTAGCAGCCCCGGAGGGGCAGGGCCTGGCCCTCTGTGAGGAGCTTCAGGACTGTCTGCTTGAGCTCCCAGTGGAGTTTGGAGGGTCAATGGGGACAGCAGAGTTTTTCTACACATCATCAAAACCCTGGGGCAGCCCTGCCCTCCTGTTATGGTTCCTCTTTCCTTCTGAGTCTGAAGTCCCCTTAAAGGGAAGTAAGCCGTTACTCACAGGACTGAGCCCAAGTGACAGACGGGCATGTGCATCGGGCATTGGCAGGACCAGAGAAGGCTGGAGGGGAGCCCCCTTCCAGCCCCTGTAGCCAGAGCCAACCCATACTCAGTTCTGGGCACCAGAGCCCTGTGCTGTCTCCTCTTGGGCATCTCATACTTAACCCAGCTGAACCTGCTGTTCCTCCCTGTCTCAGATCTCATGACCATCCACACAGTTGTCCACTCACACAACCTGTAGTGATTCCGTCTCCCTGGTCCTTGCCATAAAATTCATCCAGTGTTGTGATGTCTCTAAAATAGATCTGGAACCCACCCACTGCCAGCACTTTGGCTCCGCCCCCACCCCTTGTTGCCCAGTGTTAACACACGGGTCTCTCTGTCTCCATCCCTGTCTGCTTTCAGTCTGTCCTCTGCACCAGCCACACGGACCCTGTCAATTTCCTGCTTAGAGGCGTCTAAAGGCCTTCTGCTCCACTGAGACTAGAATTGCAAAGGGAACCTCAGAGGCCCCGCAGGCTGCACGCGTACCTTTGCTACTTGGCACAGGGGTTGGTCCAACACCGCCCTTAACTTGCTAACAGGCAAACCACTTTACAATGAAATAAGGAAGAAGAGAATTTCAGGCCTGCCATGGCCCCCACCATTCCCAGGTCCAGTCCAGACTTGGAAGTGGGACGCCCTGTGTAGCGTTTGTGCAGATCGGGGAGTACCAACTCTAGGGGGCCATTCTGATTGCAGACTGTAGGATCAGTGCCCCACTGCACGGTGCACAGCCTAGGGGCCTTTGGGGACTGCCTTACCGAAAGATTCTGTGCACATAGCTGCTGACATGGTACCCAGAACCTAAGCAAGGGAAGAAAGAAAGAACCCAAACACTTCCCAAATCATGGAGCTAGAGGTAACAAAGGGATGCCCTTGCCATGTGGCTCTGGCTAATGCCTGGTCTGGCCCTCAGCTTGCCAGGCAGAATAGACACAGCAGTGGCCTCAGCCTCAGCAGGGAGGGGGGGGGGTGGGTGCATGACAATAGCCCTAATGAGCTTCCCAGGAGGGGAGGAAGGCTTTGGAGAGCTCCTTTGAGCCCTTTGAGCGCAGGGGCCTGTGGGAAAGCCAGGGTGGAGAGCTAGGAAGGCATGCATGGTTTTTTGTGGGACCAAAAGCAACTGAAATTGCTGTTCTAGCATTTGCTATGGACCAGCCCACTCTGAGTCAGTCTCAACCAGCACAGGACCAGAACTAGTGGCCTCCAGGCCAGCCCGCCCCTGAGAGAACCACACACATGAAAACAAAACCTGAAGTGTGAAGCTAGTGCCACTGTTTACACAGCAGGGTACTCTGTACTTTCAAGAGCCTTTACCCAAGCGTGCCTTGAAAGAGCCAAGCCCTCACTACCTTCAAACGTGCATTTCATTTACACGAGCTCAGTGTGCAAGCAACTTTTTCAGGACGATGCTAGGTTTGGGCAAGGAACATACGTCTGTAGGAAAGTCCAAACGCCCAGGGGTAAGGCTGCCCTCAAAGTCTCTCACCAAACACATTTCTTAGCGCTTAGTAGTTGCTCAATAAAACTTACTCATGGTTAGTAGTAGGTAAACAATAATTAATGAAATGTTACACCTCAAAAGCCTAGGCGGGGGGTGCTCTTGTCATAGGCACGTCTAACAGGCCTGTCTGCTGACCACCCCCCTTCTGACCGACTGAAGGGACCCTTGTCCCCGGGTCATAGCACACCTCACTCTGTTGTCTACATCCAAGCAGAAAGCAAAACATGGGGAATCGCTCCAGGGATGGTGTTTACCTTGGTAAGGCTCAGATGGGGTCACTTGCACTTCTGTGTATTCCACATCCATGGTCAGAGGCTCTGCTCAAAAGAACCACAGCACCGGTGAGACAAAATCTCCCTGGGGAGCCTCAGCCTGCCTTAGAGATTTCCACTCAAATGATTATAACATTCCATATTTCGAGGAGGAAGCCAGACACAGGCCTAATGCCATTCTAAGTAGGTGAGAAATCTTGGGCTAGAGAAGACAGTCACAAGTCCTGTTTTCTCCAGGATGTGGAAAGGCCCTCCGGCCCAGGTCCCCATTGTTTCTACAGGGGAAGGATTTGTAAAAGCTCAGTAGACACAGAAAACAGCCAGTATCATCCATGGCAGTTAACTCTAGAAGCCTCCTCCACAGCCACAGGCATAGAAAGCTATCTCCAAGATGGAAAGGATCTCAGGAAATGGGGAACAGGGTCCCCCGCCTAAAAATGCTCTGACAGTATGAGCCACACGCATAGGAAAACAAGTTAATGAGAGCAGTTGGGCCGCTAGAGTGAAATCCAGTAAATTAGTTTGTCTCAACTCAAAATTACATTATTGTTTTATTTTTGAAGCCTCAGAGTTGGGGTTTCTCGCCAGCACTGAAAACATCGATATGTGGTCAAGGACACAGGTGTTTACTTTTTTAGATTTTTTTTTTTTTTTTTTTTTTTAAGTAGGCTTCACATCCCACTCAGAGTCTGAAATCATGACCCAGAGATCAAGACCTGAACTGAGATCAAGAGGCAGACTAACAAAGCCACCCAGGCGACCCTACTTTAGATTTAGCTCCTGTGATAGAGCCCCAGGGTGGGGGGGGGAAGAATTTTGAGAAACGATTTATGATTTAGCCCAATCCTTCTGAGGTTTAACCGTAGCAGGGAATCTACTGTTAATTGTCTTTAAAAATTAGCAGCAATGCTAGTTTATTTTTTTATAGTGTATGTTTTATTTTTATTAAATATTGAGACACAAAATAATATTTTTAAGTTATGTATAAAATACATGGGACACTTGGGTGGCTCAGTCGGTTGAGCGTCCAACGTCAGCTCAGGTCATGATCTCCTGATCCGTGAGTTCAAGCCCCGCGTCCTGTGTCTCCCTCTCTCTCTGTCCCTCCTCCACTCACACACTCTCTCTCTCTCTCTCTCTCAAAAATAAATAAACATGGGGGCGCCTGGGTGGCGCAGTCGGTTAAGCGTCCGACTTCAGCCAGGTCACGATCTCGCGGTCCGTGAGTTTGAGCCCCGCGTCGGGCTCTGGGCTGATGGCTCAGAGCCTGGAGCCTGTTTCCGATTCTGTGTCTCCCTCTCTCTCTGCCCCTCCCCCGTTCATGCTCTGTCTCTCTCTGTCCCAAAAATAAATAAACGTTGAAAAAAAATTTTTTTTTAAAATAAAAAATAAATAAATAAATAAATAAACATGAAAAATAACTAAATAAAAATAAAAAAACATCCCTGCTTCTGCTATCCAAAAGAAAGGAGGTCCTCTACAGTACTCATTCTGAATCAGCCAGTTCCCTGTTAGGTAGAACCCAGTTCTTTCCCACTAGAATTTTGGTTACTTTCCATTAAGGACACAAGATAGCATCTTTGGAGAAAGCAACCAGCCATCTCCATTTATACACAGTGGCCAGGGACAGGGTCACTGAGAGAGGTGGGGAAACATCCCCAGGCCTTAACAGTTTTAGCTCTTTCCCTAGGGGTCTTTTTTAACGTAAAGTTTCTAATTAAAAAAACTTTTTTAAATTAGATAATTACCTTTATTTTCATTTGCTGCTTTCATTGCATGGTTTCCAACATCTTCACTGTAACCTAGTTGAAAAATAACAATTAGGATGAATGGCAATGGAAATTCTAGCTTTTTATATAATGTTTAAAAAATTTAGTGCCACGGGGCACCTGGGTAACTCAGTCGGTTAAGTGCTCAGGTTATGCTCAGGTCATGATCTCGCAGTTTGTGAGTTTGAGCCCCACGTGGGGGGTGGGGGGGAGCTGGGAGCCTGGAGCCTGCTTTGGTTTCTGTGTCTAACCTCTCTCTCTGACCCTCCCCAGCTCACACTCTGTCTTTCTCTCTCTCTCTCTCTCAAAAATAAACAAACATTAAAAAACAACAACAACGGGGCGCCTGGGTGGCGCAGTCGGTTAAGCGTCCGACTTCAGCCAGGTCACGATCTCGCGGTCCGTGAGTTCGAGCCCCGCGTCAGGCTCTGGGCTGACGGCTCGGAGCCTGGAGCCTGCTTCCGGTTCTGTGTCTCCCTCTCTCTCTGCCCCTCCCCCGTTCATGCTCTGTCTCTCTCTGTCCCCAAAATAAATAAACGTTGAAGAAAAAAAAATTAAAAAAAAACCAAAAAACAAAACAACAACAACAACAACTTAGTGCCACTAAGAAATGAAGTCAGGCCTAACTTCTTCAGTGTAGTGGGCAACCAGCAGCGTATCTGATTCTGGATTCCCTTCAGCCCCATCCCGCCCACTGTGCGGTCTCTTTCTAACACCAGGAACACGCTTACCATCCCATGGGAGGAAAACTCCTGCCTATGGGTTGTTCAAAATTCAGAATTGTTCACGTTGAGCAACCCCATTAGAAATGAAGCTAAATTCCTTTTTTGTTTATTACTTCTGAGAGAGAGAGACAGAGTGTGAGTGGGGGAGGGGCAAAGAGAGAAGGAGACAAGAGAATCAGAAGCAGGTTCCAGGCTCTGAGCTGTCAGCACAGAGCCAGGTGCAGGGCTCGAACTCACAGATCAGCAGATTGTGACCCGAGCCGAAGTCCAACGCTTAACCGACTGAGCCACCCAGGGGCCCTGAGGTTAAGCTTAATTCTAAAGGAAGGGGTCCATAACCAGAAACTAGCAAACTCGCCTGCTCCAACCGGAGGACTGAATGCATGAGAACACGGTTTAAAAAATTACGGTACCTTCAGGCTGCCACCTCAGTGGGTAAAAAAAATTGTTAACATTTTTTTAAATCAAGTTGTTCTTTATTAAAAATAATTCTCAGGGTACCTGGGTGGCTCAGTCGGTTAGGTGTCTGACTCTTAATTTCAGCTCAAGTCATGATCTCACAGTTTGTGAGTTCAAGCCCCGTGCAGGGCTCCACGCGGACAGTGCAGAACCTGCTTGGGATTCTCTCTCTCCCTCCCTCTGCCCTGCTTACATGCTCTCTCAAGAATAAAAACATAATAATAATTCTTACGGATGTTATAAATAATACTTCTGAAGAACATATGATTTTCCATTATGTATTAAAACTAATTACTTATTGTGATTATTAAAATATTTTATAAAGTGAAATAATCCATGCAGAGACAATATAAGAATTAGAGTATTTCTTGCATTTTGGAAATTTGGGGGAAAATCCTATTTTAATATACCTCTTAGCATTTAATTTAAAGTGTCTATGTATTTATGTGTAAATAGTATAAATCACCAAAAGAATCCCCCTTAAACCACACAAAGGTATTTTCTCTATAACACTGGATTACTTTTTACTAAATATTCACCTAATGTTTCTGTATGTAGTTTCTTAAATGATATATTTGCCTATTTCTCTCTTTATTGGCCCATTGCTTTTGCTATTGCAAATGTTTTATTCACTTTCTAGTAAGGATTGTCTCACATTTTGTGCTTTCTTTAGTTCCTGTTTTATTTGATGGCCTTCAGGAATACAGTTTCCCAGGTTCTTCCATTTATTTGTTTGTTTGTTTGACTATTAATTAGTAGGCTCCACGTCCCATGTGGGGCTTGAACTCATGACCCTGAGGTTAAGAGTTGCATGCTCTACGATTGAGCCAACCAGGCCGTTTTATTGACTTTTTAAAGGTTTGATTTGGTACTATAAGAATTGCTCAATTCTTAAAACATGTTTCTCAAGTATGCCCTGTAAAAGGCATATCCTACCTAAAATTCTCATTCTTGTGAAACACTTACACAATTAGAAAAGAACATGAGCATTCTATTCTCAGACCTGCTGATAAAGAAAACTGCCCCCAACGTGGTCTGGGACAGGATGTCTTGCGTGATATAATTATACCCCCCTCTGGGAAGTGGCTGGCGCCCTTCTTCAAAGGCTTGAGCAATTTTCTCCTAGACTTAATGGGATTAAGAACTCCAGGGATTGGCTCCCCACCCTACTGAGCTGACTTTCAAGCTTTCACTCAGCCTCTAAGCATGCATTCCTTTATTGTAACATTTTTTTTTAATGCCTCCACTATCTGAGAAATACTTTAATTAATTGTGGCAAAGTTTGAAAGGAAACTGTCTTGTGCTTGTAATAAACAATTCCATCCGAGAAGATGTTTTACCAGTGCCCTAATTTGGTAACTGGTCTCTTCTCTAACAAAAGGATAATGATTATACTTGGGCACTGTTCAAAGTTTTGGAAGATAACCCAGGATGGGTATCCATGGCATTACAATTATCCTCCACATTCCCTGGGATGTTTAGAAGATGGTAAAATTAGGATAAAATGTTCTGCCTGTCTTCCGAAGTTTTTGGTTTATTTATCAACTCACCCTTCCATGACTGATTGGATTAAGTGCCCCTGCTTGAGGACAGGGCTTCCCTTCCAACTTGAACCCCATTACCTACACATTCTGCTTCTAAGACCGGTAGGGGAGTGTGTAGCCAGCTGGGGAAAACGCTTAGCAACTACGGGAAACCAAGACTGTACCGTAATGTCTGTTGGCTTCGGTATCGGGATCTGACAACATCTTCTCATTGCTGGAATTCAGAAGTGGCGCTGCTGGCCTTAAAATGAAATTTAAAAAGTAAAGAAGAGATGACTTTTTTTTTTTTTTTTTGGCTCTAACTTCAAACTAATAAAATAACCAAGGAAAGATCATGAGAAAACCAGGAAGAGTTTTCTTTTTCTTTTCTTTTTTAAAGAGTTTTCTGCAGTTACAAAAACTTTACCCTCTCCTGTGGAAAGCTAACATTGTTTTCAGCTCTAAGTTTATTTGACAAAAACTTTTCGCCGTTAAAATAAATGTCAGCGCCAAGGGGAACCTGAACTGCAGGCAGCCTTTATCAGGCGAATCCCACCCCTCTGAGTTCTTCAGCCTGTGCTACTGTTTTTCTCCAGAACCATCAGAGCTATCATTTCCATACTTTTGGATTTGAGGTTTCAAAAACAGTAAAATGATTACAACCATTTTTTTTTTAGGCCAACTCTATTTTACCAAGAAAGTAAATTCTAAAAATTCCCTCTACCGTCAGTATAATTCCATAAGGAAAAGGGGATTTGACAGGTAAGAGTGTCGGAAGGACATGGCCTCAGAATAAGGCCATTCTTTCCCAGGGAAGGGCGATTGGCAATCTTCCACGGAGACAAACACACAAGCATGCACACACGTACACACACACACACGCATGCACGCACACCTCCACTACTCACACCTAAGACCTTATTTTTCTGAGTTTCCCAAGAAAAAATTCCTGATGACCAGAATTTCCCTACAGTTTCCACATGTCTACAGAGCCACCCACGTCTCTTCCAAATACGCACACTGACCTGGCCATCTCCACTGGCGTCTGCTTGGCTTTAAAAGAGAAAGAGAAAATCCAAAGTCAGTATAAAATAGCCATGTCCATACCAGATAGGAACACTCATCTTGACCATATTTGACTTTCTTGAAGGCTGAATACCCATAAAAAGAGAAAAGAAAGCCAAATCTGTTCCTGCCTTTAAAAGAGAAGAAAATAAATAAAGTAAGTCTTTTCTTGCTCTTATACTGAGAGATTTCACATTTCCTTCAGGAATATGACATTTTGACTGTTTTAGCCAGGAGCGATTTTCCTTAGTGGAATGTGATTGAGATGAAGATAATGATAAAGGAACCAGATAAGCCAGATATACAGGCAATTATCGCTTTGATTCAAGAAGATTTCAAAAAGTAAAAGTGACGTCAATCCTTCTGCTTCTAATTCCAAGCTGGCCTGAGACCAAGGCCAGGGTCAACCTTAGGAAGGGGTTGGTTCTGGAGCCCGTCTTCCCAGAAGGGTGGCAACTTTCTTGCTCCAGAAAAAGCCCAGGGCCCCACCTCATCCATCTGCCCCCACCCATCCCAGGTAGTAGCCTTACCCCACAAACATTTTTGCAGAATTTACTGGGACTGTGCCCTTTTCCTTGAGTTCAGGCTAGCTGACTCTGATTTCTGAGGGTCAGTGGGTGATCCTGGCTTCCCTTCCGTGCATGGTTAACCTCAAGCACAGGGTAGAAATCATGGCACAAGTGGCAGATTAATTGGGAGGCATTGAGTGTGTGTGTGTGGGGGGGGGGGGGGGCGTGTCTCCATAGCACTCACAACCCACTCTACCAACTGCAGGACTAGGTGTGGCCAAATCCACAGAAACAGCTTCTTCTGATCACATGTAGATGCAATCTTCCAGATTCATCTTTTCTGGGTTGTCCCAGAAGAACCATTGCATTCACGTGTGCCTAGCTAAATCCAAGGGGCAATAAAAGCTTTGTAGCTCAAATCTTTGGTTATCAAGGTGACTCCCCCCCCCCCCCCCAAGGAGAAAAACAATTGTCTCCTCAGTTCCCGCTGGGGCAGAACACCAGCTCTCCATGAAGCTGAAGCATTTCACATCCATGGCCAGTTTCTCCTGGCCAGGGCGACCTGCCAGAATGCAGTGAAAGAATTGTACTTACCCTTGGCTTTCTTCAGAAAACAGCATCTGGCTCCAAGTATCAAGGTGGCAATTATCACTCCGATGACAACCACGGCAATAAGTCCTTTCTTCCATGGGGCAAGAAAGACTGGAAATGAAGAAAGAAACACACACACGCACGCACACACACGCGCGCGCACACACATACACACACACACACACACACACACACACACACACACACAGGTTTTTCCTCTGTCAACAAGAAATAATATCAAATTTAAGCAACAAATAAGACTGAATTTTATAGTCCTTGTAACCAGCATCTTGCATGAGCATCTACCTCCAAAGGACTCTTGTGTTCATAGCTGGTGCAGAAATGTTGTTTTTTGTGTTTTTTTGTGTTTTTTTTTTTTTTTTTTTTGGTTTGGTTTTTGCTACAGCTATGGTCTTAAAGGACCATTGGACTGAAGTAGATTACTTTTTGGGGGTCTATTCATCCCTTCTCCTTCACTAGGAAGCCACCTCTACCCACATTGGTGGGCTCCTGAAACTATGTCCCTTCTGCATGACCCATTCCTCTTGGCCACAGGTGGTCCATGGGTGGACATTTGACCCAAGACAGGCCAGTTGATATCTCTCTACCAAGAATTTGGAGTTACGATTATATGAGAAATTTCTAATTTTTATAATAACCAATTCCTCTTCTATATTTAATTTGGGTGCATGTCTGTCACTTGCAATAAAAGAACCTTGAGAACATTGGTCTCTCAACCCTCAGTGAAATGAGCTAAACAGCCACCCATTTCCTCTTACAAGGGGTGAGACTTTGGCTTTGCTCTTGGAAACCACACTATATCTCACTGTTGAGACCCTGACTCACCTCTGACTGTCAGTATGTTGCTTTGGGGATTGCTTTTAACAAGGTTGGCTCTGTTGAAGGCTGTGCAGTAATATTGTCCCTCATGTTCCTTGCTAGCCTTCTCCTTGTGCCAAATGGCATAGGTATCATTTGAGATGATCTGGTAGAAGGGACTCCCCTCCTTTTCTCTGTAAAACCTGTAGGTGATGGGACCAGAGGCATCATTCACGGAGCACCGAAGCACAACCTCCTTCCCAGACTCCACCTCTTCATTCAGCAGGATAGTGAGCTTGACCTCATCCACAGGGGCTGAAAGGCAGAGAAAGGGACAGCACTGAGAACCGGGGGAGTCACAAGGGAATGAACATGACACAGCACTGCCCATGGCTGTCCTGCTGCTGCACTGTGACCAACACTGGGATCCTTTTACTCAGTTCATTCCCACCACCCTCCCTGCCCCATCAATACCACATTCTTCAGAGCCTCTCCTCCCCCTTAGCCCATAAGGGCAGCAACAGATGCCTCCTGTCCCCACGTGTTTTTTAAACACAAGATGCTATGGACGCATCCCCTCACTTAGCACCTCAAGTATTACTCCACACTTAGCCTGAAGATATGATTAACCTCTGTGTCCTGTTGATTTTTATTCTGTGTGAGTGTGTATGAGAGAGAGAGAGAGAGAGAGAGAGAGAGAGAGAGAGAGAGAGAGATTTCCCTCCCTGTGCTTACAAAGATGCATGGCATTTCCAGATCTTATGAACGAATAATCTTGATCCACCACCTTTAGTTATTCTTGGTTTTCTCCTTTTCCTTTTATAGATGTTCTAAACCAATCATTCTCACTTCCTCGTTTTCCCACATTCTCGCTACTCCTGACATCTGACTTTCAGTCCTCTGCTTCGGAAACTGCCCTCTATCTCTGGTTTTGAAGAAACCCCAAAGGTCACCAATCCCCTGACTAGCCCATCCCTGAGTCTCCAGCAGATTAAATCCAGCCTTTAATAGGCTCCCATCTAACCTTCCCACCTGTGGCCTCAACTGCTACCCAGCTTCTTCTGGGGCTTCGGTGATGTCTCACTGCCCAGATTCTCTTACCTTCCCACCTGTCACTCCCTCTTTTTTCACTAGTTTTTCTTCCTTTTGCTCCTTAAATATGGACTTTCTGCAAAATTCAGTCCTCAGCTTTCCATCTCCACTCTCCTTTCTGGTGATTTCACCCACATTATAGCTTCTGTTTGTGCATTTAACACGTAAACATGTGGCATTTAATGCCTAAATATATAGCTCTAGTCCAATCACTCCCCTGAATTCCAGGTCTGGATTTTGACCTGGGCATTTCCACCTGGAAGTCGTGCCGGCCTCTCATTCCCAGCAGATCCAAGCAGAACTCGATGTCCTCCCCTGTATATTTTCCATGTTTAATTACTGAAATTTTGATCCTCAATTGTCTTCCCAAGTAGACCTTCCCATCGGTGTGAGAATTGACTGGTCAGCACACTGGCATCTGACCATGAATCACCTCCCTGAAGAGTACAGTGGGTCACTAGACCACGGAGCTGCTGCTCCCACAAAAAGGGAGGACCAGGCCCCGGATGGGAGGGTGGGGTTCCACCACAAAGGCAGATCCCAGAGGGTGCAGCCTGATTCGACAGCATCTCTCCTGATAAAGTACAAAGGGGTGGTGGCAAGCCGGCTTCAGGAGCGACGCTGCCTGGCCTTAATTCCCAGTCCCATTGCCCACCAGCTGTTTGTCCTAAGCCTTAGTTGTCTCATCATAAAACAAGGATAATGATCATGGGCCTTTCATGGCTATTGTAAGTATTAATGAGGATAATTTACTACAATACTTCACACAGGGGTGGGCACATAGCCGGGGTCAGTAAATGTCAGCCACTAATGCTGACCCAGTTTAAACCAACAGTTTCACTTGGCATTCTGCATTAGCTTTTTCTTTTCTTCCTCCTCCTCCTCCTCCTCTTCTTCTTCTTCTTCTTCTTCTTCTTCTTCTTCTTCTTCTTCTTCTAATGTTTATTTATTTTTAAAAGAGCGTGAGGGGGGAGGAGCAGAAAAAGAGAGACAGAGGATCTGAAGTGGGCTCTGCGTTGACAGCACACAGACCAATGTGGGGCTTGAACTCAAGATCATGCAACTTACTTATCACCTTGACCCGCAGAACTTCACTGATCATTTCAGTATGGGAATGACAATTATCTGCGATACATTGGTATTCTACATCTTTTGTTGGCTTGTCTTTGAATACCGCAGGCTCATTGGAGTCCATGTTACAACTCTCCAAAATGCTATTTGCTTTTACAAGGTGATAGCTAATAGGTGTGGTTCCATTTACGGACTGGCAACTGACTGCTATGGTCTGTCCTTTTATCACCTCAGGGCCGGAGTCATAAAAAATCCTGGGCTTGGAGAGCATTTCTAGAATGAAAGAGAGAGAGAAAACCTGAATGACGACTGAAAGCAGAAACAAAACATCCAGCCTAAGAGGGTCCTTCTCCAAACTCTAACATTACTATAATTTATTTTATTTTATTTAAGTTTATTTATTTATTTGAGAGAGACAGCATGAGCAGGTGAGGGGCAGAGAGAGAGGGAGACAGAGGATCGGAAGTGGGTTCTGTGATGACAGCAGACAACCAATGTGAAGCTCGAACTCATGAACCTTGAGATCATGACCTGAGCCAAAGTCGGATGCTCAACCAACTGAGCCACCTAGGCGCCCCCCTAGGCACATTTACTATAATTTTAAATGCCTACCTGCCTTATCTACCTTTATAGGACTCCTTTAAGATTGGCAAGTAATGTGTGTGTGTGTGTGTGTGTGTGTGAGATGAGGACGGAGGGCGGAAATGAATGCTATCAATAAAAAGGGATGACACAAGTTCAAGAAAAACATGACATCCCCCTAAATACGTTTTTATAGGGGCACCTGGGTGGCTCAGTCGGTTAAGCGGCCGACTTCAGCTCAGGTCATGATCTCGCGGTCTGTGAGTTCGAGCCCCGCGCCAGGCTCTGTGCTGACAGCTCAGAGCCTGGAGCCTGTTTCAGATTCTGTGTCTCCCTCTGTCTCTGACCCTCCCCCATTCATGCTCTGCCTCTCTCTGTCTCAAAAATAAAATATAAAAAATAAATAAATAAATACATTTTTATATTTCCATGCATCTCACATGCACACACATCCATATGTTGTGGCAGTTATATTGAGAAAAGATATAAGGAAATTCATTAAAAATATAACAAGTACCAAACAGATTTTATTTGAAAACAAATCCTCAGTGCCTCAGCCTCTCCTGATCATAAACTGCATGCCCCAAGAAGCAAGAATTCTACTAGGTCCTTATTTAGAAGTTCACTTATTTATAAAGCTTATAAAATGAAATGACCTCCTTCCAAGAACAACAGAGAAAAGGAAAATGTAATGGCCCACATTTGTCTCTTGCATTATTTCCTTTGGATTTCCATGATGAGAGAGTTGACAATAGACTACAATCCTCATTGAGTTGAGACTAAAATCTCGGCTGGCTAAAACCACAGCCACAGGGTAAACTGAAGGACAGTGACTGAATAACAACAGAGCCTGTGACACCTTGACCAGAGCTCTCCATTCACTTAGACCCCTCTACTCAGAGGGTGGTTCAGGACCCAGCATCCCCAAGGCTCTATCTAGTTAGAGATGTGGAATCTGGCTCCAACCGGACCTGTGTTCTAACTGGGTTTTGCATGCACAGTCACTCTGAGAAGCACAGCCGTAGGTGGTTCTGGTACCTATGTTCGGCCCACCAGGAGTCCCAGCCCTGCTGGTCAGCCAGGATATGGATCAGGATATGGAATTGAGATCCTAAAATTTAGTGTTGAGTAAGCAGTGATTCCTCCCTGACCTTTTAGAGGGTGCCTGTTCCAGCAGCCAGAATCTTGCCAACTCAGCCCCATCAACAGCATGCAGCCACAATAAAGCCATGAACTTGATTTTTGCCAACATTTTCTTTGTACCGCCTCTTTCCTGTCCTCCAAGAAGGAATACACCCTTGTTTGGTCTCTTGATATCACTGCTTCCTCTTACCCCCAAGTTGTTACCCTGTCTTAGTCTGATCTGCCTTCAGACTGGAGAGGGTGGCAGCTGGTGATAAATTGCCTTTCTCTCATTCCACCCCAAGACTCTCTGAGCCAGCGAGGATCTACTCACCACACACAGTTATCTGGACTGCGTTGCTTTTCTTGACCACCTTGCCAATGCCTGCGTTGCAGGTGTATGTCCCTCTGTCCCTCTCTGAGGCTATCTTGGTGAAATTTTGAGACAGTGACACAATCGTGTTTTCCTTCTGGATGGTAAAGTTGGCTGGAGGTGCTCCTGGAATGGAGCACCACAGGTTCAGGCTTTCACCGTGATCCAGGCGGGTGGCGGAAGATTCCAGCTTCGGCTTGGAAAACAGCTCTGGAAGACCAGTGAGTAGAAGGAGGTGAGACGTTTCCGGGCACCACTCCCGCAGCCCCCTTCCAGAGAGACCCTTGACCCAGCTGCTTTTGTCAGAGCCAATCCCCAAACTTGTGGCAGAAATTTCTCTTTAGCTTCTCATGAAACCCGATAATCACACAATTCAAGAGTTAGAGTTCATTCTTTGCCTGGGATTGCAATGGCAGGTTTTCTACCTTTGTTAATCCAATTTATTTCATAAAAATGAATTAGAAAAGTTTTTCACTGTGTAATGCAGCAGTGATGATTCATGCATCCACCCAGGTATTCATTCACTTATATGCTTTATTTCATAAGTATTTAGTACACACTTTCTCTGTACTGGGTACCTTGCTTGGCATCAGAGATAGCTGTGAAAAAAAAAAAAAAAGTCCCTGACTTCCAAGTGCTTACGTTTAGTGGGTGATTCAGACATGGTTATTTGCAGGAGAGCCCATGGAGGGGATAGCTGAACCTAGGCTCGGGGAATCAGGAAAGGACTCTTACAGGAACTATCCAGGCAAACAGGGAGTGTTCTAAGCAGAGAGAAGAGCCAATGCAAGTCCTGGCAGGAAGTTGGAGCACCTGAAAGTCCTGGAACTTAGTGGGAGTAGAAGCGGCCAGAGGAAGACCTATAGATCTTGAAGGACCTTGAGAACCATCTAAACAAGTGTGAATTGTATCCTGGGGCAATGGGAACCATGGAGAGTTTGGCTTGGGGGAATGACATCAGATGTGTGTTATTAAAGGGAGATATCTGGAGGGAGAATGGATGGGACTGAGAGCCTGGACTGGCAGCAAGAAGGATGAAGTGCAGGCTTGATGCAGAGAGCATGAGGTTGGGGAGAAGTGGCAGCTGGTCACCATCCCTCTAGCACTTCCCACAGAGAAGATAACACCTGAGGTTGCGTACTTTGTAAGCTGTAACATTCTATGCCACTTTAAGGAGTCACTAGCACCATAGTTGAGGTTGGATGTCAACAGCAATAAAGACAGAAGCTGACTTTTAAGAAGTCTTGTCATCTTATTTGAATATTCCCTGAAATACACCAAGATTTCATAGTCATGGACTATGTTTTTAATTTCAGCTACTGGAAAATTACTAATTAACTACTTAACCACTGTGCAGTGGTCCTTCATGTAAGCAAATGCACGCTGGCTTCAAGATTATTCCCTGTGATGCAGAAGGACGAAGTCAGTAATTTTTGAAACTATCTTCATATTGAGAAAGGAACTGAGACCCAAAGTCCCTCTTTGGAAAGCTTCTTGGGCTAGAGGCTTGAGAGTGCATCCAGGAGTCAGGGAATCAAATTCTACATTTGGTTCTAAATTTACCTGCCATACAGGTTTTTGGGAGGTACAAATCAACACTGTCATTGTCATTGATGTTAAGTAGCTATCTATAGGAGTTATTTCCATCAAAATCAATCCCCAATGCCTTCCTAGTTTCCTCAACAAGGGATAAAATAAAACTTCAAGTAAGGTGGTAGTCCAATAATTAATCTATGTTTTATTAAGACACATTCCATCCTTCCTTCCACATAAGCATTGACTTATCTGTTTTCCTAGCACCATCAAAAGCTCTAGTTTAGGAATGGGAAAAAGAAACCAAAGAAACTGACATCCTAAAAGCCTTTACAATCCCAGTGGACAGATACCAAAAAATGTGAAAAAAATCACTCAGCAAAAAAATTCCAAAGCAATGACTCACTATTTAAAAATATGTAAACGGGGGGCGCCTGGGTGGCGCAGTCGGTTAAGCGTCCGACTTCAGCCAGGTCACGATCTCGCGGTCTGTGAGTTCGAGCCCCGCGTCGGGCTCTGGGCTGATGGCTCAGAGCCTGGAGCCTGTTTCCGATTCTGTGTCTCCCTCTCTCTCTGCCCCTCCCCCGTTCATGCTCTGTCTCTCTCTGTCCCAAAAATAAATAAACGTTGAAAAAAAAATTAAAAAAAAATATGTAAACGAAAATGTGAAAAATAGAAACCATCTTTCAGAAGTAGGTGCAAGATGGTTTGTAGGAATGAAATGTAAGGAAATAATAGTCCACTTGTAAATGATCCATTTGCAGGTAATGTAACAGACCAGCAGGACCATCACGTAGACTAATAAGAATTAGTCTTTTATTCACTTGTTGAATGAACACTTACTGAGCTCCTCCAACGTGCCAGTCTGTGCTAAGTGTCAATGATGTAAGGTGAATTGAGCCACAGATCTGGTCCTTCAAGAGCTTACCCAAAGTGGTGATGGCAGACTCTAGACCTTTGTAGTGACTACTGACATAAAGATGGAAACCGAGTGTGATAGGAATTAAGGTGTGACCATGGAACTGTCCTGGCGGACCCCCGAGGGAGATCTGGGGTTTGGTCTTTAAGGACAACAGAAGTTTTTCAGTGGCCGAGGGGAAAGAGTGGCCCAGGGAGAGTGGGAGGGACATTGGGAAGGGGATGGGGTCAAAGTGAAGGATCATGACCATTCAGGGTTGAAGCTCATGAACAGTGATGTCAAATAGGGATCATATTAGGAGGGCCTCTCCTATAGCTGGTTGAAGAATGAACTGGAACAGAGATACTCCAGGAAACCCCTGCAATAGGTAATCCTGGTGTGAGGGCCAGTGTTAGGGTGTGATTATCGAGACAAGAAGACAGAACAGAGCTGAAAGACCTACAACACCTGGTGACAGAACAGATCTGAAAAGGTAGACAGTGGGGGACGAAGGTGTCTTTTCTATCCAAAGACAAATGACTAATTCAATGACTTTTATTTTCATAAATCTATTGTGAGCTGCTAACATCACTCAATAGAGCCATTGACAGTGAAGCTTGATGGCAACAGGGGCATGGATCACTAGATGCATCAGTGGGCCTGGAGACCTTTCCAAAGGCCTGGTGGAACTTGAACATGAGGGTACTTGCCTGCCAGCCCTGGTGTGGCTCAGTTAGCTCTGGGTGGAAAGGGCAGAGCTCAGGATCACAGAGCACTCAGGCTAAAAGGACAGAAAGGGCAGGCTGTGTGTAACACTCTGTTATCTTGGGCCAGGGAGACTGATCTACTGAATGGCTTATATACCCCACCCAATACAGACTTCTGGGTGTAGGTGATCACCTACAACTGTAGTATCCTAGGGTCCAATGATGCTTTATGCTTTCCTAAAGTAGCCTGGCCTGAGGGGTAAAGATGCTGCTCTGGCTGATGCAACCGTCAGTTGGTCCGCCACAGGGTCCCTGTTGCTCTCACAGTAGTATGTCCATCCCTTGGTTGTACTTGCTCATTGCATTGCATTCAAATAGTCTATTTATGTCTGTGAGTTTGTCAGGAGCAAAGCCTGACCTTAGGCAGCTGTCTATCCCCAATAAGTTGCCCAGCATGCGGATGGTACTCAATGTCTGTTGAATTGAAAACTTTTCTCTAATGAGATAATACATGTCTTATCAGCGAAAAATATCATGTACCATCAAGATATTTATCATTATCAATAATAAACTAAGTTATTAGTACACACTATAGACCAGTGGGATCCAACACATATGCCAATCACCCAGTTGGGTAGTTGACAACTTTCCTATGATACTGTGGACTGTCCCTGTGACTACACTCAGTGCTTTACACATAGAAGGCTTTCAGTAAATGAAGAAATGAATGAATACCTTCACATGGCAACCACGAAGTGCTGACTCTCTCTCCCCTCTGAAACACAGTGGTCCAATGTTCATTCATTCATCCAACAAATATGTATTTAAGTCCTACTATGTGCCAGGCTCTATTCTAGGTGTTAAGGACATAGCACTGGATAAAATGGGTAACATTCCTAGTCTCATAGGCTTGCATTCCAATGCCTGGATACATACAATAAACAGGAAGAGATAGAATATATTTTTTTGGTAATAGGTGCTATGGAGAGAAGTAAAGCCAGGAAAGGGGGAAAGGAGTCCAATAGAACTTTTAAGTGCATGGGTTTGAAAGTCAAATGGGCCTGGGGTGACTCTTGTTCTGCCACTTGGTAACCCTATAATCACTGGGGTGAGTTACCTAACATCTCAGCCTCAGTTTCCACACCCATAAAACCAGAATCATGATCCTTATCTCACAGCATTGTTATGAGCGTGAAATGCAAATGTATGTAAACCAGTCATAGAGTTTTCAACAAAAGGGAATTGTTGCTATTGTTCTTGAATTTGCTAATGCTTTCTCACTCCTGACCCAGTCTTAGGACCTGGGTCTGGGATCTAGCATAGTGCCTGGCACAGAGGAAAGATAAATATAATAGCAGACACACTGGCTAACATTCACACAGAGTGCTTATTCTGTATGAGGCTGTTTATAGCAGAGTCATGTCATTTCATCATTGAGACAGTCCTACAGGTGAGTGCTGTCATTATCCCCATCTCATAGAGCTGTGCCAAGGAGAAGCTGAGTAATTCACCTAAGGTCACTGAAGTAGTGGGTGGCAGTGTTGGGATTTGATGTCAGAACTTGCACCCTCAACCACCACAGCTAACTGCTTACTGACTCTGCATTGACTTTTCCCCTTGAGCACCATGCCCCCACCTGAGTACATTCATTCAGACAAGCAGGAGCAGAAATATCCGCTCTCATTGGCCATTCTGGATTCCAGCACAGGGGCTGCTTGAGCCTACCATATTCACACATCCTCCAGCAGCAGCCCTACCTGTTATGTTGACCACGATGCTGCTGACCTTGGATATCCGGCTGGCTTCCACTTTGCACGTGTAGTTGCCATTATGCTCCACCATGGCCATCACTGAGTAGGTGGCCTCATTGCCATGCGTCTTGTGTGCTACAATCGCCTTGTCCTTCTGGATTATGATTTCTGGAAATGACTGCACCAGGTGTGTCACTTGAATGGTGCACTTAATGTTGAGCTGATCTCCTTCTGTGATCACTCCCTTGGGGCTGATGTGGAATCTGGGATTAGAGAAGGATTCTACAAGAAGAGGACAAGCTGGTTGGACTCAGGTTCAAAGCTGAGTGAGTGGAAGAGGCATTTACATCCTCCCCTTTTGTGATCTTTTTTGTTGCCAACACTATTCTTCCTTATTAATTAAACAAATTCAATATTTTCCCTTAAAAACCTTCTCCTAAATTGCTCTGATGCTTCTCACTCATTCTTGCAACTTCAGCCTTCTTAGCTGTAATCCCCCTTGACCTTCCCAAAGCCAAAACCACCTTCCCTAGATCTCATCTGCAGAATCCTCTTCAAATGACCTCAAAAATCATCAGAGCATTGGAAACAGACTCTTGCCCCTGCCCACCAAGGATTTTCTAGGCTTTTCTCACATAGTTTCATGGAACCATGGCATTTCAGCACAAATATTCCACAGTTTTCTAAAGTGACAATGATGTAAACTGTGACATTTCATGGAAATGCATATTTAAATAACGATATGCACCCCCCAAACTGATTTCTGGTCTATTCTATTTTTTTTTTTTTAATGCTGGCTGTGACTGACTAAATTGATTACATGACTCATGCAGCTTGAAAAACACTGTTTTAATAAAATATTGGTCAGATACCAGGGTGTGGGATCATCAGGAGATGGTAAGAGAAGTAGGGATAAGCCTTTGCTTCCACAAATAAAAAAATTGTAGAGCATTAGAGTACACACACAGATTGCCAACTATGCAAAATGAAGCCAAAAGTGAATTTAGAGTGATATACTTTCATTCACTTGTCTTTTTAAAAAAAATTTTTTTAATGTTTATTTATTTTGAGAGAGAGAGCACAAGCAGGGCAAGGGCAGAGAGAGGGAGACACAGAATCTGAAGCAGGCTCCAGACTCTGAACTGTCAGCACAGAGCCTGATGCAGGGCTCAAACCCACAAACAGCAAGATCATGACCTGAGCCAAAGTCGGATGCTTAACTGACTGAGCCACCCAGGTGCCCCTAATTTGCTAGTTTTTTACCGCAAAGTGATTTAACTTCACAATAAATAGCTATCATTAAAAAAAAAATAGTCTGCTGTCGTGGGAATGAAAGGAAACAAAAGCAAAAAAATGAACTATTGGGACCTTATCACGATAAAAACCTTCTGCACAATGAAGGAAATAATCAACAAAACTAAAAGGCAGCCTACAGAATTGGAGAAGATATTTAAAAATGACATATCTGATAAAGCGTAAATATCCAAAATTTGTAAGGAATTTATCAAACTCAACACCGAAAAAACAAATAATCAGTTAAGAAATGGGCAGAAGACATGAACAGATGTTTTCCGAAGAAGACATCCAGATGGCTAACAGACACGTGAAAAAATGCTCAATATCACTCATCATCAGGGAAATACATATCAAAACCACCATGAGATACCACCTCACACCTATCAGAATGGCTAAAATTAACAACACAGGCAAGAGATGTTGGCGAGGATGTGGAGAAAGGGGAACCCTCTTGTACTGTTGGTGGGAATGCAAACTGGTGCAGCCACTCTGGAGAACAGTATGGAGTTTCCTCAAAAAATTAAAAATAGAACCATCCTATGATCCAGCAATTGTACTACTATGTATTTTACCCAAAGGATACAAAAAGTTTTGAAGGATGACATGCACCCCAATGCTTATAGCAGCATTATCAACAATAGCCAAACTATGAAGAGAGCCCAAATGTCCATCGACGATGAATGGATAAACAAGATGTGGCATATAGGGGCACCTGGGTGGCTCAGTTGGTTAAGCGTCTGACTCTTGATTTCTGCTCAGGTCATGATCTCACAGTTAGTGGGATCAAGCCCCACAATGGGCTCTGAGCTGACAGTGCAGAGCCTGCTTGAGATTCTTTCTCTCCCTGTCTCTCTCCCCCTCTCCTGCTCACGCACGCACACATACACTCTCTCTCTCTCAAAATAAATAAATGTTAAAGAAAAAAAGATGTGGTGCGCACACACACACACACACACACACACACACACACGGAATATTACTCAGCCATCAAAAAGAATGAAATCTTGCTGTTTGCAATTACATGGCTGGAGCTAGAGAGTATTATGCTAAGCAAAATAGTCAGAGAAAGAGAAATACCATATGATTTCACTCCAATGTGGAATTTAAGAAACAAAACAGATGAACATATGGGAAGGAAAAAAAGAGAGGAGGGGAAGCAAATCTTAAGAAACTCTTAACAATAGAGAAGGGAGATGGGAGAGGGGGGATGGGCTACATGGGTGATGTGTACTAAGGAGGGCACTTGTGATGAGCACTGAGTGTTGTATGTAAGTGATGAATCGCTGAATTCTACTCCTGAAACCAATATTGCACTGCATGTTAACTAACTAGAATTTAAATGAAAATTCAAAAAAAAGAAAAAAAATAGGCTACTTCCCTGAATGGAAGTTAAAAAACAAGAAAGGGCATCTTTTAGGATACTCAACAAATGTCCTCTGGAGAAGGGTAATCATCATTAAAGGTTTTTTTTTTTTTTTTTCTTACATCCTAATTAACTCCAGATGCACCAGAAATCTAAACGCAGAAAAAAACAAGCAAACAGTTAAACTACAGAAACAGTAAGAGCAAACATACGTGCATTTTTTCCTTTAATTATCTTTAATAGGCTTTAGGTGTGAATCATGAAACTGAGATGCCAAAAAAGAAAAAGATGGACAAATTTGATTCAATAAGGATGAAACGCTTCTGCCTGAAAACTGAGCATAAAAGAAAGACAGATGACAAACTCAGGGAAATATTTGCATAGTACTTGACAAAGAGCTAATGCCTTTAATTTATAAAGGGCTCAAACAAATCAATCAGAAACAGTAAAAATGGGCCAAGTGTATATAAACAGGCAGTTTATGGGGGGAAATGCAATAAGTCAATAAACACCAAGAACATACTTGACCTCAGTAAAGACCAAAGAAATATAAATCACAAGAACAATGATATATCACTGTGTCTCAGATCGTCATAAACAAGAAAATGTTGATAATGCTACGTAAGAGTAAGGATGTGGGAAAATAAACAGTAGCATCAGTTTTGATGGAAATGTTCAACCATTTTGAGGAGTGCTTTGGCAATATATATCAATATTTAAAATGCACAAAACACTTGAATCAACAATTTGACTGCCAGGATCAACCTTATAAATAATAATGAAAAAAATACTCACAGAAGTATACAAGCTATAAGTCTGTATATTGCAGGACTGTTTTAGTAGCAAAACACTGGGTTGGCAGGGAGTAAGGGGGACAGTGTGCCTGGGTGGCTCAGTCAGTTGAGCGTCCGCCTCTTGATTCTGGCTGAGGTCATGATGCCAGGGTTGTGGGATCAAGCCCCACATCAGGCTCCACACTGAGTTTGGGATTCTCTCTCTCTCTCTCTCTCTCTCTCTCTCTCTCTCCCTCTGCCCCTCTCCTCCCTCACACAGGTGCTCTCTCACTCTCCCTCTTAAAAAAAAAAAAAAAAAAGAAGGAGCAAAAAAACTGGGAAAATACCTAAAAGTCTATATTAGAAAAATGAGGTAAATTAAGTAAATGAGGTAAATCCTATAATAGGATTCCGAGATGCCACTAAAAGGATGTAGATCTGTATTTCTTGATATGGACAAAGGTCTATAACATACTGTTAAGTTGAGGAAAAGTTACAAAACAGTTATGTTTGACAGGTCACATTTTTTGTAAAAACAAAGAAAAACAAACAAAAATTGTGTGTGTGCATGAACATAACAGTAGAGCAAGTCTAGGACAACACAAGTGATTCTCTAAGTATTGGTGCTATGAATGATTGTCACTTGATACTTTATATCGTGCCATATATTCTGGAAATTTAACCCACACCATGTATTATAATCAGAAAAATATGATATATACATATATATATATATACACACACACACACACGATGGGTGGGAATGGAATGAGGTACCAAAAGCAGAAGGGTATCCATGACAAACTTTGGGGCTCCTATAGAAAAGACTCGAGGCTACTGCCCTAGAATATGCCTTCCCTTGACTCTCCCCTACTCACGAGTCCTTGTGCCATCCTACAGGCTGCCTGTGCTGGAGCTCTTTTCATCCTGGACACGCACGCCCGGGCCTCCCTCTGCTATTTCCTTTCTCTCTGAAGGGCATTCCTCAGGCCACCTCATCTGCTTCTTACTTGTCCAACATCTTGGTGATGGAGGGTGGGTAGAAGAGGGGAGTCCTTCCTCAAATGTGGGAGGCGAAGGCTGGGGATAGGGACCCCCTTCCCTCCCAAACCCCTCCAGACTCCACTTCCTGGTGTCTGACCCATATTGGCTTGAAGCCGTGTTTTCCAAACTGCAAATCACACAATGCATCATTTCACTGCGTCAAGGTCAGTGTTTAAAAAAAAACAAAATAGAGTAGAATAGAAAATAGCAAAGTGCTCCATACATTAAGGATTAGTTGTGAAACTTTTGCTTGGGAAATTTTGCACACACACACACACACACACACACACAATTTTTTGAACTATATCGCAGTCAAAAAGTTTGAAAAGCATGGCTTGTAAGTGGTTAAGAACAGTCTTGAAAACAGCAGCCCAGTCAGAAGGCCCCAGCCCCTTTCCAACTTCTGGGCTTTCTCCCCATCCCAACCAGCAAACCAGAGAGTGATGAAAAGGAGAGTAGGACTCTGACCCGTCACGGTGACCAGTTCACTCTTGATGGCTTTAGAGATCTCCACATTGGTCCCAGAAAAGATCCTGGCTTGACATTGGAACAATATGACATGGTCCTGTTCCTCCACTGTGAATTCCATCACCATAAAATTCTGGTTCTGAGAAACTTTTTCTCTTTTTTGCTTGAAACCTTTTGCATCTAGCTTGAGTTTTTCAATTGTGAAGTATATTGGGGGATTTTCCTCTGGGACCGAACAATTGACCGTCACGACCCCGCCTTCTATTGCCTCTTTCTTGTCCAGTGTCACTCTGGGATCGGACACTCCTTTGGGGGAAGAGAAAGTCCATTAGTATCAGTTTGATCTAGTGATTCAAGCTTACCTCGGCTGCACCACTGTGATTGACCCATCTGAGAGTCTTCTCTTTTGTTCCCAGAACCCCAGGGCGACCTACCAGGTGATTACTGAGCAAGTATGTTCCCAGAGCTATACCAGCTACTTTGAAAAATATAAAATATGTTTCAGATGTGGTTGGTGCTTTCAAAGTTTACAATCCCACTGGGGAGACAAGTCTTGCCAACTGATACAATTAAAACAAAATAGCCATATCCATAGGCATTACTGTGGTTGGTGTTATAATTTATTGACTGTCAGCCACAACCTAGGATAGACTTTTTATCCATGACCCCATGTAATTCTCATAATAAATCTCCAGGGCGGACATGAAAGATAAAAGTATGCCTATTTTGAAGAAGGTGAAGCTCAGTGAGGTCCAAGTTTCATCCAAAAGCTCCTTGCCAGCAAGTTGCAGAACCGAGATTCGATTCCAGGTCTAACTCCAAAGCCAGGAGTTGGGGTGGGAGGTGGGAGAGAGGAAGGACACTTCGCCTCCTGGTTCACAAAGTGAAGCTGAAAATAACTAAGCATTAGAATGTGTGGTAGAGATAATGAGTGATGAAGCAGTCAGGAAAAAAGGAGGCCCTCTTTGCCTGAGGGATCAGAGAAGATTCTAGAAGGGAATAGTGCCTGAGAGTAATCTTGGAGGAAGAGTGTTATTTGTTATTTGGACAGATGAGGTGGGGGCTAAGAACAGATGAGGTTGGGGGCTAAAGACAGTGATTTCAGGGTGCGTGTGCACGGGGACTGCTTGTGTCAAGGAATACGATGGACTTTTCGGGAGGGCCATCTAGAAAAAAGAAAGGGGCACGGGGAGAGGTACAGTAGGTGGTGAGCCAGGGTCAGATGAGGGGGAGCTAGGATGGTCTAGCTGAGACTAGACGTCTTGTCCAGGCTCCGTGGTCTGGTGGTCATGAGGTCCACCTCGAGAGTCAGACAGACTAGCTGGTATCCTAAACCTTGCCACTTCACCTAGTTGCTTATGACTCTTCTGAATCTTTGTTTCAACGCACCCAGTTCGGACATCATGGGCTGTCCTCTTGGGAAGGTGACCTACACTGTATTCGTACCGCTGTTTTCACCTGTGGTGGCAGCTGTTTACAAAGGTGTTCCCCTGCTTCACACTGATCTCCCCAAGGGAAGGGATCACATCTTACTCATTATTGGTTCCTCAGCCTAGCCCAGAGTGGGACTCAATACATGTTGAGTGAATGAATGAATGAATGAATGGCCTCTGGTCTACCTCAAAGACCTGAATAGTAATTAAGAGTTAGAGAGGCCAGCTTTGGAGTCAATGAGATCTTGGTTCTAACCAGCTTTGCCTCTGAGGAACTTCAAGGCATGAACATGCCATTCAGCCTCTCTGGGCCTGTGTCTGCACCTGGAAAGGGTCACATTTAGCTCTCAGCGCTATTGCAGGGCTTAAATGACGTGTGTGAAGCACTTATAACCGTTTACCCCATGAGGGTCTGATAGGTGACAGTTCTTATCATTGGAAGTAACAATAGAGTGAATGACTATTCTGATGACAAAAGTGAGCACACAAAATGCAGAAACGACCGTTATGGCAGTCGCTGTCAAGGAAGCACAGGGTTCAATTCACTAACAATCCATTAAACCATCCAAGTTTTAAGAAAAATCACCCTAAGTTTCTAAAGCCTGCCAGCACATTTCTTTTCAACAGACATTGCCCAAATTCAGCCTGCCAATCTTTCCTTATCACTAAAGTCAGTGCTGGGAGCTGTTGGCCGGCAAGGCCCTGTCCTCAGTGGAGACGAGAAGGGCTGCTCTGCATCCCTGTGGCTGTTGCCCCTGGCGACTCTGAGGGATGTCTAGCCAGCCATGTCCCTGACTGTCCAAAGGACACCCATGGGGGAATTGGCCTGGGGGAGGGTGATGTCATAGTCTCCCAAGTAAGCCTAAAGGCCTGACCAAAAATGTGGCCAGAGATTGTATGCTCATGAAAGGAAAATGCCCTTGAACTCTTACCTGCTGGTTCTTCCTGCTTTCTATATGCTGAAAGGGTTATCCCTTTCTAAGGATGGCCCAGCTGAACCCCTCACACATGATGGGCATTCATTCATTCATTCATTCAATACTTGGTTACTAAGCACACTTCGATGCCATCACATTTAATCCTCAAAACAAAACAACCTTCAAGGGTACATGTTGCTACCTAGTGATCTCTATTTTAAAGACAGGAAATGAAGACTCCAAAGGTTGGGGTATTTCACTGAAGAGCAACTCTATTGGGATACTCTTGTCTTTCTCGGCCTCTGCTCTTCCATTCATGTGACATTTCCATTTCTCTGCCCTTGCTCCATTTCACCATCAAGCAAACTCCTCCATGATCTTCTGTATCTGGACTCAAAGTCCCTTCCTCCAGGAAGCCATCCCTAACTTCTCTAGGAAGAATTGTTGCCTCTCATCTTTGTGCTCCCAAGGCCCTCAGATCATATGACCACGAGACTGTAATTATTTTTTTAATGTCTCTCTTCCCCACCAGACAGTGACCGCCACCAGAGCTGGACTCGACTTGACACATTTTCATGTCTGGCACCTGGTTTTTGTTCCTGACTTGCAGCCTTGGGAAATGCTTCTTGAGGGAGTAAAGCAATGAGTGACTGGATGGAATCCTATATCTCAAAACCCAAATTTCTCATGATTTCCCTCCCACTTCTACATTTCTATCCATTTCTACTTCCCCTTTTTCATCTGCCAAATTTATTTCACAATCATTTACTAAGTGCCTACTATAAGCCAGATTCTTTGTTTGAAATACAAAAACGGACCGAACACCATCTCTTTCCTTGGGAATCTCACAGTAGAGCAGACAGGTGTGAGAGAAACATTTGCAATTGAGTGAAACAGTAATTGCCATTTGGGGGGAACTTAATTATGTGTTGGAAATTATACTAAGCACTTTATCTAGAAGGTATCTTTTAATCCTTGCAATCACTCCCTGAGCTGGGTATTATTATTATCTTCATTTCACTGATGAGAATTTTAAAGTTTACAGAGGCTAAGGGACTTGCCCAAACTGGGCTCCAGGCAGAACGACTGCAGAATCCAATGTGAACACTCGGCCTGTGGCCTTTATACAAATGCCACGGAATGTCCAGATTGCATAAGAGCTGTAAGGACCGGGACCCTGGGGGAGATTGGTTTTGCTTGGGAAAGTGTCAGAGAAGAGATGATTGAGTTGAGTCTTGAAGGAGGGAGAAGATGAAGAAGGGTATTCCCAGGAGAGGGAATATAGTGTATGCAAAGGCAAGGAGGTGAGAAACAGCCTGGCGTATTGGGAGCATGTCTAATGCCTACATTTGCAGGTTAGGAAAATGCCAGGCAGAGGAGTGACAAGGGTGACGGATGGGCAGGTAGGTCCAGTGTTACCCTCCATTCAATTTCTATTCTGCTACCGCGTGCACTATGCTGCATCCACTTGAGCTACGTTCAAATGCAGGGGCTCACCTTTCACCCACACCTGGTACTCCAATGTGGTTTTCTCCTTGTTGTTCAGAATCACGGTGCATTTATATGTCCCTGCATCACAGACCCGGGCTTGGGGAATAAAATAACTCTCCGTGTTCTTCATGGAGGAGACGTTGTGAAACAGCACATCATCCTTATAGAATAGCACCCAGTGCTGAGGCTTGACATGGGAGGTGGTGCTGATGTCCACGACGCACTGCAGGGTCAGGTTCTCCCCATTTTGCACCTCCAGTCCTGGCAGGATATTCATGTGGATGTAGTTGATGGTGAAGGCTACATGCCAAGGGAAGGAGAGCAGACACACCTGTTATCTCAGAAACATCATCCTGGTGACCTTTACACCACATCAGATTACAGTAGATTGGTATTCTCACATCCTCTGCAGTGTAGTATCCGGGGATCCCAGTGCCCAGAGGGACCAGACAGGCAAGGATGGTATGTGATAGCCGTGGAGGCTATCTATCTAGCATCAGGACTTGGAGTTAAGAGCTACTGTGTCTCCCATGCTTTGTTAGCCTCCTTTGTCATCAATGTCCATGAAGTATGAATAAACAATCCTGAGATTATAAACATTCTATGTTAATTTTTGAGTGGATAGTGCCGTCAAATGTTTCAAAATCCCCAAGGGCAGATGATATGACATCTATGTGAAAAACCCCAAAGAGCCTAAAGATAGATCATTTGAAATAATGCAGGTTTAGAAAAGTGGATGGGGGGGAAAAAAAAGGTGGATATAACTAATATTTAAAAAATCAGGATAGTGGGGGCACCTGGCTGGCTCAGTTGGTAGAACATGTGACTCTTGATCTCAAGGTTGTGAGTTCAAGCCCCACGATGGGCGTGAAGCCTATTTAAGATTAAAAAAAAAAAAAAAAAATCAGGGTAGTGGTCACTTCTGAAGGGAAGAGGAGGGTAGGATTAGGAATACACGGGGTGATATAGTATTGGTGATGTTCTAATTTTCAGGTTAGGTGGTGGGGTCACATGAATTCTTTATGTTATTAAAAGCATGCATATGTAAATAAAACAAAAGGTAATTGTGCACAGATCAAAGATGAGAGTATGTTATGAGCCAGGGATTATAATCAGTCCAATTCTGTGTACTTGAGGCCCAAAAAAGAAAATGTATTTTCTGTACGAAGAAAAGATACAAGGCAGGGGCACCTGGGTAGCTCAGTTAGTTAAATGTCCCACTCTTGATTTGGGGTCATGATCTCACAGTTCATGAGTTGAAGCCCCTCATCGGGCTCTGTGTTGGCAGCATGGAGCCTGCTTGGAATTCTCTATCTCCGCTCCACGCCCCCCCCCTTTTTTTTTTGCCCCTACCTGTTCTCTCTCTCTCTCAAAAATAAATAACATTAAAACAAAAAAAGAAAAAGATACAGTGTAAAGTCTCATTCCCATTCTTGTCCTGCCCACCCAGTTCCCACCTCCCCTTGCAGAAATAACCACTGAATTCAGTTTCTTCCAGATGGTCTGTACAATCTATAAGCAAATACAAAGATAAAGTCTTATGTACTCCTTCCTGATCTTTTACTTAAAAGGTAGATCTTCATGTATAGAGTTTGGCACCCTACCTAAAGTTTATGTGGCCCATGAGGGCTTTAGGGGCCAGAAATAGTGTGGGGCTGTAGACACCAGGTGTTATTCAAGCAAAACAGGGTCCTGTGGCTTAGGTAAGGCTCCTAAAGATCAATTCTTAGCAGATACTTTGATAACAAAAATATTCATGGGCCATGATGAATGTATATTTACTGAGTCTCCTTACATATCCCCAATCTCCTTATCCTTGGACAGAGGAAGATCTCAGAAATCTGCATGCTTGGACCACTTTGCTATGGTCCCTCGTTTACTAGTATTAATGGAATGAAGCCTTGGCCCTCTACCAAGGGACGCTGTTAGTAGGGAATGAACTGCGTCCTCCCACACACAACATTCATATATTCAAAACCTAACCCCTAGTACCTCAGAATGTGACTGTGCTTGAACATAAGGCCTTTAAAGGTGATTAAATCAAAATGGGCCCTAATCCAACCTGCCTGGTGTCCTTATAAGGAATTTGGACAAAGAGAGACCAGGGACATGTGCACAGAGGGATGACCATATGAAGGCGGCCATCTGTGAGCCAAGGAGAGAGGCCTCAGAAGAAACCAAAGCTGCTGACATTTTAGTCTTGGACTTCTAGCCTCCAGAACTGTAAGAAAATTAATTTCTGTTGTTGAAGATAGCCAGTCTGTGGTATTTCGTTGTGGTAGAGCTAGGAAACTGATAGATGCTGGTAAGAAATTGTCTTATGGAACCCGATATTGTCTAGTCTAGGATGCCAACGGGATGTTGTCCAGGATTTCACATAGTATTTCAACTACATCAGGAAAAGCTGTGTTTATTCATTTCTATCTTGTAAATTCCAACATTTTTCTTTCTTTTTTTCTTTTTTTTTAAATGTTTATTTATTTTTGAGAGAAAGAGAGTATAAGCTGGGGGGGGGGGGGGCGGGGGCGGGGTCAGAGAGAGAGGGAGACACAGAATCTGAAGCAGGCTCCAGGCTCTGAGCTGTCAGCACAGAGCCCGATGTGAGGATCAAACTCACAAACCGCACGATCATGACTTGAGTCAAAGTCAGATGCTTAACTGACTGAGCCACCCAGGCGCCCCCACAAAATTTTTCTAATGGATCTTGTTTTCCTTTTGGCTTTGACTGCTAAGAAGCATTAACCCAAAATTTCACCTCTGCTTCTAGGAAACTTTGGGATGCATTTCTGTGTGTTTAAAGACTCATAGTTTCTTTGGCCTGCCTTTATTTACCTTCCACTCTGATTTCCTCATTTATGTTCTCCTCATGAACAACAGCACATAATTTTTATAAGTGGTCCCAAATAATTTTTTAAATAAGAAAATGGATAGCTAGCTAGCTGACCAGAGAGACTGGCAAAAATTGTCTTTCTCTTTTAATAAAAGTCAAGTCTTCTTGAACCGTTTAGACTTTGTGTCTAATATGTCTCAGGTTTTAAAAGGAATACAACTGGGGCGCCTGGGTGGCGCAGTCGGTTAAGCGTCCGACTTCAGCCAGGTCACGATCCCGCGGTCCATGAGTTCGAGCCCCGCGTCGGGCTCTGGGCTGATGGCTTGGAGCCTGGAGCCTGTTTCCGATTCTGTGTCTCCCTCTCTCTCTGCCCCTCCCCCGTTCATGCTCTGTCTCTCTCTGTCCCAAAAATAAATAAATGTTGAAAAATAAATAAATAAATAAAAGGAATACAACTGTCCACACCTGTCCCTTTCTTCTGAGCAATTCATTTAACAAAAAACAGCATCTGATCAGTCCATGAAATGAAACGAGGTGATTGTTTAAAATGCAAGTTGTTTCCCGCAGCATTAGTCTTTAGAACTCCCTTTTTTGTCTTCGCTATTCCTTACCAGCTCCTGGTCTGAAGAGCCTGCTGGGTGAGCTCTCAGAACAGAAGTTTCCCATCCATTAATATGGTCCCTTCCAGGTAGGGACAGGCCATCTCACTACTCCTTCATCACCTCCTCCTCATTTTAAGCCATGCTGTTTAGTACAGTGATTCTAACAGGAGAAGAAGGTACGTGCAGAGCCACACTGCCTGGGCCAAATCCCACCTCTGGTCACAAACTGTGTGGCTTTTGGCAAATTCCTGAGCTTCTCTGAGCCTCAGTTTGCTTATCCACACAATGGACATAATAATAGTAAGTGTAAATGGGAGCCCAAGTTTAAGTACTGGGACCACAGTTCCTGGCACAGATGAATGCTTGAGAAATGTTAGCTAGGTTTCTGTCTGCCAGTCACAGATATAAAACCCAACTTGAGTCTTGAGGTCTCTGAAACTTGATATCCACTCCTTTGGCTAATGAATTTTTTCAAAAGAAAACCATTTCTTGATTTCCCAGGTTAATTACAGTGGCTTCTTCAGACTCCTGTGGTTAGTCGTCCCTGCCGTGTTAGGCTACATCGTGTCATCAGCCTGCGTGAAGTACACACCCGTGGCTGGCCATGCCCTAGACTGGGACACAGACCTGGGCGGATACAGGAAGAAAGCAAGTCAGGCATGTCTGGGTCCAAACCCCTGTCTCCACAGCCATTATCTGAGTGCTCTTGGGAGTTACTTAACTCTTCTCAGCTACCACTTCTCCTCCTATAAAGTGGGAACATTAGTACCTGCCTTCCCTCCTATTTCTGTCTTGAGTAATGACTGAACCAAGATGGCTGAGGGCCCTGAAGGGACAGAGTGTGTATTGCCCAATGCCTGGCCCTGGCTGACATTCTCTTCCCTCTTCCTTGGCACTCAGCAGACATTTAAGGGGGCTTCTCTGTGCCAGGCACCGCATCTAATAGTGGGGGGTTCAGGGAAGAGTGAGATCGGCACAGTTTTTGCCCCCCTGGAGCTCACCATCTGCATTCCCGGTTCTTCTCTACTCGGGAACCTCTGGCCTCAGCACCATCCCTGCGTGGGTCTCCTACTGACCGGGCCTCGTTCATTTCCATCTTACAGGGGCCCCAAAGCAAACTTGGCTAAAGCATCAGGTGGCGGTTTTTTAGAAAGGATGAGATCCACTAGCACGGGGCACTTCTGCCAACTGGTCTTTCTAAGCAACAAACACACATTTGCTTCATAAATCAGCTCAACTGATTCACTGGAAGAAACATCACCGTCCCATGGTCAACTGGAACAGACAAGGGTGAAGAAAGGACAGCAGGATTGGGGCTCCTGGGTGGCTCAGTCGGTTGAGCATCCGACTTCAGCTCAGGTCATGATCTCGCGGTTTGTGGGTTTGAGCCCCACCTCGGGTTCTGCGCTGACAGCTCGGAGCCTGGAGCCTGCTTCAGATTCTGTGTCTCCCTCTCTCTCTACCCCTCCCCTACTTGTGCTCTGTCTCTCTCTATCAAAAATAAATAAAATGTAAAAAAAAAAAAAAAAAGGGCAACAGGATGGAAGAAGGAAAAGCATTCTACAAAATTGATCAATATGTTTACCGTAGATTTATGAAACCCAGCTCTGTGACAAAACACAAAACCTCACTGACATGATGTAACAAAAGTAGCACAGAGTTTTGACACCACCACCACCACCACCACCACAACCCTTGTGGAAGCCAGCCTTCAAGTTGGCGCCCATTGAGCCTTGCCCTCTGCTATTCACACCTGCATTTTTTCAAATGTTGATTTATCTTTGAGAGAGAGAGAGAGAGACAGAGCGCGAGTGGAGAAGGGGCAGAGAGAGAAGGACACACAGAATCCGAAGCAGGCTCCAGACCCC